GACCCCGCCATTTAGCGTGTGCGTATCCTGGACCCCGCCATTTAGCGTGTGCGTATCCGCGACCCCGCCATTTAGCGTGTGTGTATCCGTGACCCCGCCATTTAGCGTGTGCGTATCCTGGACCCCGCCATTTAGCGTGTGCGTATCCGCGACCCCGCCATTTAGTGTGTGCAGTGCCCCTTCGCGACCTCGCTTTTTAGCGTGTGCCACGCTTGCTGCCGTGTGCCAGTATCCTGCCAACGTGACAGCCTTCCATGTAGATTTGATAGGAAGCTGCTGCCTGGTATATTCACCTCCTTCCTTTTGGTAGCTAGTAACTTTAGCTTTTGTTAGGGTGATGTTATTATATGGGAATTTGGGGGGGCTTGCTGTCCTCTGTCCTCCATGATTGTGACGTAACTCTACCCCCCCCCTCAGGGCGCGCCCTCTTCTGGGGAAGACATGGAGATATCGGACGACGAGATGCCGGGGACCCCCATTGCAGCTGGCGACTGTGCCGAAGGGCTGGTGCTCAGTCCCTCTGTGGGCGCCTTGCCCCCACAAGCCATTTCCATGCCCCCTCCGGGCTTCCCCCCACTCCCGCCTCCCCAGGCCGGATTCCCACCTTTGCCCCCGCACCTCCCGCCCGGGCCCCCGCCGCCACCACCGCTGCCAGGCCCGCCCCCACATCCCATGCTGCACCCACTGCACCCCTACGCACCTGGCCTGGTGCCCGTCATGCCTGTGGAGCTGGTGGGCTGCCTGCCACAGTGGGGGGGCATGCACATGTCCTTCCAGATGCAGACGCAGATGTTGAGCCGCATGCTGCAGGGCCAACGCGCCTACCCCTACCCCCCCTACGTGGGTGGGCCGGGGGGCGGGGCCGTGCCCTTCAATGAACCGTACCGGCCTTTCTCAGTGGCGGGAGGCATTCCCCCGGCCGGACAGCCCTGGCCCCTGCACGCCTTCCCCCGCTTCAACCCAGCTGTGCCCCCCCCTGGCTACCAGCCGCAGAAGGAGGACCCGCACAAGGCCACCGTGGATGGGGTCCTGTTGGTCATTGTCAAGGAGCTGAAGGCCATCATGAAGAGGGACCTGAACCGCAAGATGGTGGAGGTGGTTGCCTTTCGAGCCTTCGATGAGTGGTGGGACCGGAAGGAGCGTTCAGCCAAGGTGAGGCTTATGCTGTGTTCAGGCTCAGCTGTGTTGAGCCACACACTAGCTCAAGCTCTGCCTTGCTCAGGCACACACTGACTCGGGCTCATGCTGTGCTCAGGCACTCAACACCTCAGGCTCATGCCGTGCTCAGGCTCAGCAGGTTTATTCTGGTTTCCCATGTTTTTATACTGTCTGTCCTGCATGGTATCAGTAGCATATGAAGAGTGGCTGTCTGTGGCAGTGTGCAGCACTCTGCCTTATTCTCACAGACTGAATCATGGTTCTAATATGAATGATCTGAGCCTCTGTCTCCGTTACACTCTATGACCCCCCCCCCCCCACCACCACCACAGTCACATTCACTCACTCTGCTGGTTCACAGGCCTCACTCACGCCTGTCAAGAGCGGCGAGCCTAAAGAAGAGGAGAAGGAGAAGCCGCGGCCCCGGGAAACTGTTGCCTCCAGCCTGCTGGAGGGCTGGAACAAGGGCGAGGGCCTGGGCTACGAAGGCATGGGGCTCGGCATCGGCCTGCGCGGCGCCATCCGCCTGCCCTCCTTCAAGGTACAGACCCACCCTGTCTGCAGCTCGCTGCTCCTTCCCTGCATAGAGGTGACAAAAGAATCTCCATCATGGCAGGGCTATTGTGACATGCAGCATGATTTGTGGGATTCCTGTTGGCATCGTTCATTCCAGAGGTTTCCCGTATAGATATACTCCGATGAGCATGATAAACCAGGTGTGGAAACCACTGTATCTAAAGTAGCTTCAACTTTTGCCTGTTTGGATCTCCGCAGATCATGTTCATTTGAGTAGAGATATTACTGAATGAATGATCTAGGATGGGTCCCAAATGATTTGGGATGGTGAAGGATGTTGTGGATGGAGCGGTCATGCTTAATGCAGAGCCACACGTCCTTAGCCAGCAACAGCATCACAAGCTGGTGGATCTCCCTCATTTTCTTGGCTGTGACTGAATCCGTAAGGGAACGGCTTTTTATTTCGTCGCGTGAAGCCATTCTTGATGGGCGCTTCTGTCTCGCTCCATCTGTAGGTGAAGCGGAAAGAGCCCCCAGACCCTGCCTCCACGGCGGACACCAAACGGGCGCGACCCTCCACCCCCGCGGATGAGGAGCTGGAAGACGAAGGTCTGAACCCAGCATGCGTGGCTGCTACTCACCATTAGTGCTCAGCTGTTAGCCTGTATGCTAAAGAAGGCGTCTCTTTCACTCTCCATGCTAATGGCTAACTGCAGGGTAGCAGGTGTGTTGTAGCATAGCGCCAAGCCCATACCCTCACCAGGACAGGCCTGCGATTGCACAGCAAAGGTGGCATGACTGTAGAAGCAAGGGTTCAAGTTTGGGTTTGGCATCAACTGTATGGGAACATCTAGCCTTGAGAGTGGGTGTAATAAAATGCCCCGAGTAGCAGGTCACCGGTGCAATTAACTGTTATTTACGGTGATGGGGTTTGCATATTACAATCTATAAAATGACGGCACAGTGTAGGATCCTTTCTGCCATTCCATCGGCACGAGCTGAGCTGATAGCCAGGTCATTCATAAACCCAGAGTGCCCAAGTGCTCTTTTCATGAACTGTGGGCACCTGAATCGAGCCACCGAGGGGACCCAGGGTGTACATCTCATGGATGGTTCCTCTCTGGTGTTCAGCAAGAAGATGCTTCCTGCATGTTCCTCCACGGCGGTGTTGTGAGCATCAGACAGGGGCATGAGGCCTTCGGCACTATGACACTTCAGGGGGTTTTAATTCGCTTGTTTTTTTTTAATGATTCAAGCGTCACTGGCATGGATGTTTCTGCTCCTGTGGGCCTGTCTTTGATCTTGTCTGCAGATAAACCAGGTGCATTTAGCTGACCTTTTCTTGGATATTTATTTGACCATCAGCCCCATTCTTGTGAGAGTGACTATACAAGCCATGCCTCGATATTTGAAATATTTGAAAATGCTGAATTCTGATTTAAATTGTCGTGGTTTTGTGAGTCCGTCTTTATTGGGGTTGGAGGTTTGTCTCCCTGCTCATTATTAGTAATAATACTTATAATAATGAATGGATGACATAATAATCATAATAATAATACCTGACCCCCAGAGTTAGAGAGGGACCAAGAATTGGGAGACCCCCCCTTGGACGGCCCCAAGCGAGATGGAGATGTGGCCACGATAAGGCGAAGACATGCCAGGCCACTCGAGCTGGACAGTGAGGGGGAGGAGGAAGAGGAAACTTCTGGCAAAGAGGAAGAGGAGGAGTCTTCGCCATCAGACAAGGAGGACGAGGGCCCAGAGGTGTCAGATAAGCTTTCCTCCCCTAAGGTACGATGGGATCCTGCCGGTCAGGCGGCACATGCAGACGCTTCGGGGAGAGCCGGGGTGACCCAGTGTGGCGTGGGTTTTCAGGAGGAGGGGGATGAGGAAGAAGATGACAATGAGCGTGACGAAGAGGACGATGATGAGGCTGACGATGACGAAGATGATGGTGACAGAGTCAGCTCTGCCTCCAGTGAGAGGGAGTCCTCCTCCGATGAGGGTGAGTGGCACAGAGCCGGCGAGCTGAGCACGGCCGTCATGGGCTGGTGATGTTCCCGTTCACATAGATCAGGTCTGGAGAACTTTGGGCCCTGCAAACTTTTGGTTGGTTTCTTGTTCGTGTTCATCAGGTGCTTTCCTGATGTATTCTCATTGGTCCTCCTTTCCCCCCATTTACTCCCCAGAAGCTGCTGTTGCTTCCTCCTCAAAGACCGACTCTGATTCTTCGGAGGAAAGCGCAGACTCCTCTGAGTATGACTCCAGCTCCGAGGACGAAGAAGAGGAAGTAGATGCAGAAGATGAGGAGGAGGAAGAAGAAGATGAACAGCTCCAGGTGTTCTCTGAGGAGGAGGAAGATGAGGAGGAGGAAGAAATGGCAGTGGTACCCCCAGCTACTCCGACAGCGCCAGCTGCCCCAGATGAAGAGCTAGAGATGGCACTGCTGGCAGTGTCTGAGCTGGGCCGGCAGGAGGAGGAGGAGGAGCAGATGGAGACTGAGGAAGAGCAGCAACATCGCGTCTTTCTGGAGGGAGAGGAAGCAGCCAGTATCTTGAGGGCCCGCCTGGACGACCCCATCGCTCAGCTGCTCCCCCTGGAGGCAGGGCTGGAGCTGCGCCCCCCCTCCCCCAAGGGACTTCCAGGTTTGTGTATCTCTGTGGCTAGGGCTCCCTCTTCAGGCTATCACCATTACTAACACATTGATTTATGGTGAATATTAACTTCATCGCAGTGAGCTAATGGTAGGGCTGGGCGATAAAAATATAACAGTAATTATCACAATATAATTTCCCTCGCCGTAAGTACGGTAAATGCTCGATGGACGTTTGCCATGAAATATCATCACTTTCTCTGTGACTGCTTGTTAACTCCATCAGTAGAGCACAGGCACAGTCTGTGGGGGATTTATTGAACAAATAAGAGAATGCAATTGGGCAGGCAGGTAGACAAAAGGGAACACAGTCAAAATAACAGGGCAACTTATCAGGAGAGCAGGTAAGTCCAAAGCAACCCGTCCAATAAGGATAATCCAGTGGAATCCAAAACAAAAGTGCACAGTCAAATTCAGTCCACGAGAAATCCACACAATAATCATCCACAGAGAATTCAGAAATGCTAGGAAGAATGCAAGCGGTGGCATTCTGTCAGTGCTGACTAAAATAACCTGGCTTGCTGCCAGTCACAGTGTTTTGAGGATGAGCAACCACTGCACAACAAACACACAGTAAGGAGCAACCACTGCACAACAAACACACAGTAAGGAACAACCACTGCACAACAAACACACAGTAAGGAGCAACCACTGCACAACAAACACAGTAAGGAACAACCACTGCACAACAAACACACAGTAAGGAACAACCACTGCACAACAAACACACAGTAAGGAACAACCACTGCACAACAAACGCACAGTAAGGAACAACCACTGCACAACAAACNCACAGTAAGGAACAACCACTGCACAACAAACGCACAGTAAGGAACAACCACTGCACAGCAAACGCACAGTAAGGCTTATCGACTTAGGGGAGCACTCTGCATTCTACTGTTCTGGTAAAACACGTGAATCAAGTGAGAGAAAAGCGCTCCCTCCCTCAGAGAAAAGCGCTCCCTCCCTCAGAGAAAAGCGCTCCCTCCCTCAGAGAAAAGCGCTCCCTCCCTCAGAGAAAAGCGCTCCCTCCCTCAGAGGAAAGCGCTCCCTCCCTCAGAGAAAAGTGCTCCCTCCCTCAGAGGAAAGCGCTCCCTCCCTCAGAGAAAAGCGCTCCCTCCCTCAGAGGAAAGTGCGGCGTCGCTGTCAGTAGCCATAACATCTTTTTAAAAAGGAGATATTGCGGATACCCCGGTAAAAAGACGGTGGTGGTGTGGCGGTACTTTGGTCGTTTAAAGAAGCCCATGACACGCAACAGACTGCTGCTGTGTATTGTAATCTGCCTGAAACTTGTGCCAACTAAACCTGGGAATACAATGAATTTATTTCACCAGTAGAAGCATCACCATCCAGTAGGACGTACAGAATTCAAGCGCTTCACAGACACCAGCAATTAGTGTTGCAACTTTCACTGGCATCCTGTACTGGTTCGAGATGGGACACAGCATTTTTTAGTAGAAGGCAGGTGGCAACTGTACTAGGGATGTTAAACCCATCCTCTGTTACAAGCAGTGAGGCAGTCAGAGAAAAAACCCAGCACTAAACGGTACTGTCAGCGGATTAATAATGTTATGCCCACTGACAATAAATTTATTATTGTATGATTTTATTAACATTAGTCAATAAATAGTTAAAGGTGCCATAGAATGAAAAGCTGTTTGTACCTCGGCATAGGTGAAAAAGGAGAGATTGATGCATAGAAATGACATACTGTGAATCTCAAATACCGTTGTTTCAAATATAATTCCTAAATATGAAAGAAGGACGTGAAATGGGCTGTTTCAAAATTGCTAGACCGTTACGTAGCAGTCTTAACCACGCCCTCAAGCATAACGTATGCCTACCCGCTTTCAAGCTCAATGGACTTAGAGTTCTGCAGGTATTGTGAATAACAAAGCGGAGGGCGACAGCACAAATGGCAGGCTGTATGCGTAAGTGTGCCGATTGAGGCTGTGACGGGGATGTCGGCACTGTTCATACCATCGCTAAGGAACTGAACTGTCAACAGGCACGGCTGATGTTCATCTTTAACGGGTAAGTCAGGGGTACGTTTAACGGGTAAGTCATTGGTATGTTTAACGGGTAAGTCAGGGTTACGTTTCACAAATGTACCCGTTAACAACTTACATAGTTGGAATCATTCAGTTGCATCTTTCTAGCTATGAAAGTTGCTAATTATGTTGTTAGCAGGTGTGCTTTTGGAAAAACGTACCCCAGCTTAACAGGGCAACAGTAAACATGGTAGCACTTTATTTGAGGGGACACAAATACTTAGTAATAACTCCGTTACTCTGAAGTACAAATCATAAATTGCTGTATAGTCTCTGCTTAAGATGAAAGATGCGTCATGATTCATTAATGGTGAATAAACATGAGATCAGTATTTCCCTTGTGTTATTCATTACTTGTTCCTTCAGTAGTTCACTAAGATTTACAGAATTAACAGATATAGTAACAAAAGCAGTGCTCAAAAACATATTAATGAGTTCACAAAATAAGGGAAAACAGCCTGTTTCATTCTAGGGCCAAATAATAGGGTGTAATTGGGCTCATAAAGCCACCTCTGGACATTTTTCTACCAAAACACGTTCACATACCTTTCGGTGTAAATACCAGAGAACGGTTTGAAAAAATATACGCTTTCTATGGCACTTTTAACCGTTTGCAGTCCATTCAATGTGTCATCTTTGTCATGTTCTGTTTGAGGGGAATCGTAAGGGAACTTTAAGCATAAATCATGCCTCAAAATAAATTTCAAATTATGATGTATTACATCATGATAACTGTCGACGTAGACTGATATGAAAAAAATGATCGCAATAAAATATTTTGTCGTATTGCCCAGCCCTAACTAATTGGTGCATTTTTTGAGTTGACCTTCGCAGTCTAAAATCAGGGACAATAGGTCCTTTCCTTTTCTCTATCTTCAGGCCAGTTATTCTGGTCAGGGTTCCAGCTCCTTCCCTTGAGTCCATAGTAATGCTGGATGTCTTGTGTTGCCCTCTAGTGGTGACTGTGGTACTTATTGGTGCTGTCCGTCTCTGTATCAGCAGAGGAGCCGGAGCTGGAAGTTGAGGCTGAGATCCCGGAGGTGAAGATGGAGACCATGGAAGACTTTGGCAGCTTGCAACCCCCCACGCCAACGGGCTCACTAGCGGACGGTGACCTGGACCCGCGCAGCACCAAGGCCAAGCTCTCCTCGCCCCCCCTGGAGGAGGAGGAGCTACCCCGCACGCTGGGCCGTGAGGCGCTCGCTGCCCTCTTGGAGGTCGAGCTGCCCACCAACAAAGTCCTCGCTTTGCCCTGTGTGCCCCTGCCCCCCCCCTCCCCCCCTGCCCTCCCTGAAGCACCGCCCTGCCCGGCCGCCCCAGAGCAGCTGGCCGAGCTTCTGTCTACAGGGAAGCTCTTACTGGATGAGGACATCCCGCGCACGCCTGGGAGGGATGTGGCGGGCAGGAGAGCCACATCGATGGCCAAGTCGCAGAGCACGGAGACGGTGCCAGTGACGCCGGGCGGGGAGGCGCCGCTCTCGGGGAGCAGCCTGAGCCTGCTCTCCCCCCACGTGCTCGGCAGCCCTTTCTCCTACCCCTCCCAGTCTCCGAGCCTCAGCTCTGGGCTCCCGCTTACCCCAGGGAGGGACTTCATCTTCACCCCCACCTTCGCTCCCACCCTGCTCGATCCAGCAGCTGCCACTTATGCGCTTCCCAGTCTTCCCGCCCCTGACATCCTGGAGGAGCCGCCGTCAGCGAGCCCCCCCCCTGCTGCTCCATCAGGCCCCCTTCTGGCCCCTGTCCCTGTCGGACCAAAGGAGACAGAGCCCCCCCCGGCAGGCCTCCGGTCCCCACTGGCCGAGGCCTTCCCGGATGGGGACGCCGTCCCCAGCGACCAGCCTGCCATTGAGCCAGACGTCACCCCACCCAAGCGGAAACCTGGGCGCCCACGGACGAAGAAGCCAGCAGCGGTGGTGGCGGCCCTGCCTGCAGAGGAGCTTCCTGGAGCAGAGGCACCGCCGTCTTTACCCAGCGACCCTCCGGTGAATGAGGTGCCCGCCGGCGTCACGGACCCGGTGGCAGAGGTGGCGGTGGCAGAGGTGGCGGCGGCAGCCGGCTGCCCCGCAGAACCTGCCGCAGTGACACTGGATTTCCGGGAAGCCTGGCCAGAGTCCCAGGGGCCAGAACCAGGCATGGAGCCAGCAGAACCCATGCAGCCAGAGGGGGTCGAGCCAGCAAAGAAACCCCAGCGGAGGGTGCGTCGCAGGCAGGAGGAGCTGCTGCTGCTGGCCACGCCCTCTGCCCCTCCGACCCCCCCCCCACCCTGCTTCCACCCACGCACCGAATTCGAGGAAATGACCATCCTGTATGACATTTGGAATGAGGGGATTGACGATGAGGACATCCGCTACCTCCAGGTCACCTATGAGAAGATGCTGCAGCAGGACATTGGCAACGACTGGCTGAATGACACCCTATGGGTTCCCCATCCCCATATCCTTTCACTCTTAGTTTTGCCCCTTTGTGGCAGAATCAGTCATAGCACCAGCTGGTACGGGTGCAATCCTTTGGATCTGCAGATATTCTAAATGGTCATTTTCAGGTTATGGGTATGGTGTTGTAGTCTTTGAACAGGACATGATTCATAGTTTTAGTTAAGAATGATTTCTCTGCTAGCCAGTATACAGTTGCCATTAGCTATGAACACAATTGGCTATGAACAATTAAACGGGAATATTTTCGGAGCTTGCTGAACAACCACTATGGGTATCAAATATATAAAAAATTCTGAAAATTATTCAGATCACATGTAATATAACATAAATATTAACAATACATAATATTTGTTAGTGTGTATATATATATATATACACTAACAATATAATTTTTTTCTGGTCCGATCGCAATCAACTTTCGCCCATCTGTCGATATTGACACCAATCCACCTTAGTGAGTGTTAAATGAGATATTTGTATCCATACATTTCAGTTAACATGGCAAAGATTCTGCATTTAGTACAGTAGCAGCATTGTTTGCGTATGCTAAGAACATGGAAATATAATGGTCATGTTGCTCAAACAAAAGCTATGCCACTACAGTACAGGAAGGACAACATGCCAACATGATTTATACAAGTCTGCAACTTCGTATTATTCAGTAACAACTTCCACAAAAATGAACAGAAATATTTCTTAAATGGCAGGTTGTGCAATCTGTTGCCAAATTAAATATAATTAAGAAATCAGTCATAAAAATATCACTGTATACTCCAGCTAACCATTTATAGCCGCAAAATACACAAGTCTCGAGTACAAAATATACAATGGAGCACAGATAAGACTTTTTAGTAGTAATTAATTGAACTTTAGAAAAAAGAAAAAGTCTGAAGACATCTAATTTGCATAAATGTTACTGTATTCAGGCATAAGAAAAATCAGCCCTAGCCCTGCATGCACTACACTCTGCAGTTTAGCTTTTTTCTTCCTTTCTGCATTTCCACACAGCCCATAAGACGACTGACACACACACTCATCCTCACTGTTCACCCTCACTTCTGTTCACCGTATGTCGCTCTAAGGCTACAAGCATTTTCACGATTTTTCAGGCTGGGCTTATCTCTGATGGAAAGTCAGATCGATTTCTTGCCCCCCGCCCTTTTAAACTTTTTAGTGCCGTTAATTTAGCATTTTTAATAATGTGTCGAAATTGTAATGCTCCCAGTGCTTCTGAAATTGTTCCTAAAAGGAAGAAGACTGTGATGTCTCTGACACAAAAGGTGGATTTGCTAGATATGCTTCCTAGTGGAAAGTCTGAGTGCAGTACTGTTTGTTTAGACATTGGTAAGAAATAGACTTTTTACGTTGTCGCTCAGGCTAGCAGACTCTTAGAAGCTGAGGTTAAGGGGGGTCAGGAACTAATCACAAATTTCCAAGTCCGTAGGGATCTCCTGCTCCTTATCCTCGCAAACCTGAAGCAGTGACTGTATTTGTACTTCTCCTGAGTTGCCAACCTGCCTGTATAAATTCTCTGGAAAGGCATTGATGCTTCGGTGGTAGTGTTCGCGGCTGCCTCACAAGAGGCCCGGGTCTGAATCCTTGCCAGTGCAGTTTCCGTATGGGTTGATGTGCGCTTCTGCTGGTTAGGACTGTGTGCCTGTGATTGGAAGGTTGTGAGTTCGAATACCATGGCTGGCAGAATGATGTCACTGTTGAGCCCTTGAGCGAGACCCTTAACCCCAAGTGCACTAAACGTTCTGGATTAATGGCTAAACCTGTGCTCTCCACCCAAGCTGCACTTGTATGTGTGTGTGCATGTGCAGGGGTGTCAGTACACCTGTGTGTGTGTGTGTGTGTGTGTGTGTGTGTGTGTGTGTGTGGCCCCATAAACACTGTTACAACCTGGATCCCTGTCCCCTAAAGGGCTTAGGTGGCTGAGGTGTACTCCACTCGTGGTCATTTGTTCCTTGACTCCCTGGTACCTACCAGTATCCCTCTGGTGAAAAGGAAGAAGTGGGAGGATGGCATGCGTGATCACATGACTGGCTGTGCGCGTAGCGAGGGCTACTACAAGATCGACAAGAAGGACAAAGTGAAGTACCTGAACAGCTCGCGGCCCGTGCCAGATGAGCCGCCCATGGATACGCAGGTGAGCCACGTTCTCTGGGGGGGTCTGCCCTGGGCCGGATCGGGTACGGCCTGGTTCCTGTATGCCAGTGGGCAAGCAGTAGTACAGTTCAGGTAAGGCCTGGTTCCTGTATTCCAGTGGGGAAGCAGTGGTACGGATCGGGTACGGCCTGGTTCCTGTATTCTAGTGGGTAAGCAGCGGTAAGGTTCGTGTACAGCCTGGTTCCTGTATGCCAGTGGGAAAGCAGCGGTACAGATCGGGTACGACCTAGTTCCTGTATTCTAGTGGGAAAGCAGCGGTACGGTTCGGGTACGACCTGGTTCCTGTATTCCATTGGGAAAGCAGCAGTACAGATCGGGTACGACCTAGTTCCTGTATTCTAGTGGGAAAGCAGCGGTATGGTTCGGGTACGGCCTGGTTCATGTATTCCAGTGGTAAAGCAGCAGTACGGATCGGGTATGGCCTGGTTCCTGTATTCCAGTGGGAAAGCAGCGGTACGGTTTGGGTACGGCCTGGTTCCTATATTCCAGTGGGAAAGCGCCATAAGCCACTTATGCCAGGAAATTCAGACCAGGCTAAAAAAATAACTATGACTATATAGGGGTGTTTGTACAGTAGTAAAAAAACACAGGATTTAGATGGGATTTAGTTCATTATGATATTTCTGCTGAATTTATTTTTCATATTTATGTTTACACTATGTAAATAAGCATCTGTTTTGTTATAAAAATGACTACAGGTGCATTGCTTTTAGTTTACAGCTGAACTGTCTTTGTGTTTGCATATTTAATAATAAATTACAAAACAAATTCTGTTTTCCCCTGCTGAACCATGAACCTAAAACTTTTTGCTTTGGGGTTTGTATAACGTGCAGTTCAGGGTGTGTTCAGTAAAGCAGGACATCAGACATGAGGCAAAAGAGACACTTTAGCCTGTTTTGGTCAGGCGATAAGTTTGATTTTTAATTTCTGTCTTTTGCTAAACGGTTATGCTCGTGTTCAGACAGCTGTCACTTCTAAGCCTCCTCGGATGCGTATTCTCACATTAGCATAAATAAGGATGAGGTCATCAGATCTGCCCCCAGAGCAGCATACCCTCGCATGGCGGTTTCCAATTGGATACTCGTCAGCTTGCTGATGTGGCCGGGGCGGCCTTTTTGTGTGTCCCAACACAGCTGCTCTTATACTTTACAGCAGCTCTGAGTGACCTTGTTTAATGTCCTGTATTAAGTGTTTGTACATTTCAGAATTATCTTCATGGAAATGTAGTGTTTCTGGGCTGAGCCTCTGGGGGGCGCTTCTTCTTACAGGGCATGAGCATCCCAGCCCAGCCACACCTCTCCACTCGGGCGGGTTCCGAGCGCCGGTCTGAGCAGCGACGTCTCCTGTCCTCCTTCAGTTGTGACAGCGACCTGCTGAAGTTCAACCAGCTCAAGGTACGGCGCCCTCTGCTGTTTGTTTGGGTCCGTCATTGGGGCTGACGATGGTACTTATCAAACAGCCGAACATTATGCAGCCCTATCATTGGCCTTGTGATAAAGCTGTAAGATGCGTCCTTGCTTCTGATTGGTGCGCCTTGACTCTCCTGCCAGCCTGTAATAATGAGGACTTTTCCCCCACCCCCAGTTCCGCAAGAAGAAAATCCGCTTCTGCAAGAGTCACATCCACGACTGGGGGCTCTTTGCGCTGGAGCCCATAGCTGCAGATGAGATGGTGATTGAGTATGTGGGCCAGAACATCAGACAGGTGAGGAACTGGCCAGGCTCACTGGGTTAGTCATGAACCGTCTGTGGTCTACAAGCCCCTGGTCTTTTTTTCTGAGGGTGACCCTGAACCCTTGGTAAGATCTCATGGAAGATGTCTGTCTTTTCCCTCGAATACATACCCACCCAATGCACACCCTCATTCCTTCAGGTGATTGCCGACATGCGGGAGAAGAGATACGAAGACGAGGGCATTGGGAGCAGCTACATGTTCCGGGTTGACCATGACACCATCATCGATGCCACCAAGTGCGGCAATTTCGCTCGCTTCATCAACCACAGCTGCAATGTAGGTGATGCCGTGTGGCCCAAAGGGGGATGTGAGCTCTTTGTGGTTGGCCTGTCTGTGGATGTCTGCCTGCCACTAACTGCTGCGTTACGGTCACAGTTTGTGTACCTTGGGGCTTTCTCAGGACTTACTTGGCACTTTCTTTTTGCTTTTCCAGCCTAATTGCTATGCAAAAGTCATTACAGTGGAGTCACAGAAGAAAATTGTGATCTACTCAAGGCAGCCCATCAACGTCAATGAGGAGATCACCTATGACTACAAGTTCCCCATTGAAGACGAGAAAATCCCCTGCCTCTGTGGGGCCGAAAACTGCCGGGGCACCCTTAACTAGTGTCTCCCAGGGTGTGGGTCCCTGAGAGTCACCCCGAAGTATAGCCCAGCATTATAGGGGGTCCTCCCCTTCTTCTAACATCCTAGGGGCAGAGTAGCCCAGAGTCGGTGTAGAAGATGCCCTAATCCAGAGCTCAGCACCGTGAGAATCAGTATTTGGTGAGGAGGGCCCCTTAAACCCTGGCCTGGCACAGTAACGGTCGTTCACCCTCCAGTGAGCTGTGGTGTGGTGTTGCAGGCATCCTTGGCTGAACTTGGCATGGGAGGGCGGGAGCTGGTGTGAGCAGGCAGCTTCCTGGTACGTCGTACGAGGGATAGAGGGAGCTGGCGTGAGCAGGCCACTTCCCAGCTCATCGTGCGAGGGACGGAGGGAGCTGGTGTGAGCGGGCAGCTTCCCGCCACATCGCACGAGGACCGGAGGGAGCTGGCATGAGCGGGCAGCTTCCTGGCACTTAGTACGCGGGTCAGAGGGAGCTGGCGAAAGCGGCTGCCTTCCCGGCATGTCGCACGAGGATTGGAGGGAGCTGGCGTGAGCGGCCGCCTTCCCGGCATGTTGCACGAGGATCTGAGGGAGCTGGCGTTAGCGGGCGGCTTCCCGGCACTTAGTACGCGGGTCAGAGGGAGCTGCCGTGAGCGGCCGCCTTCCCGGCATGTTGCACGAGGATCTGAGGGAGCTGACGTGAGCGGGCGGCTTTCCGGCACATTGCACGAGGGACTTCTCGACATGTTGTACAAGGGCCTGTGGCTGTTTCTAGGCATCTCCTTGAGGCAGATAGGGTGCGTGGACTGTGTACTATTTGCACCTCCTTTTGAGTTTCTTTCCGTTTCTTAACAACATGAGGTGCTTCCAAGTCGATTGTCGGTGGATATCCTGTCCATCAGCTCCCCCTTCTCGCCCTTGTCTTCCGCCTTCCGACCCCCCAGGTCATGACAAGTGTCTCTTCCTTCTGCTGGCAGTGCTGCTGTTCATTGATGTACTGGTGTAGCATGGCGTGTGGCACAGCCCCACCTGTCATAATGTGAAGAAGCTGCGCGGCCCTGGAGCGCCAGGGCTGCATGGTCTCCGGTCTGCGGGTCACGGCATGCAACCTGTGGCCCTGTGGCTTTGCTGCTGATGGAGTGGCCGCGGGAGTGAATGCATTCCCGCACGTTCTCCATACACTACACACCGTCATAATAAGTTATTTTACGTTTACTGAGTTCTCATGAAAAAAACCCACCCATCTGCTAAAAGAGTTTACACGTCGAGTTCCGTCCTCATAACACTGTACCAGACTGAGTGTTTTCCCTCCGAGGAAATCCTGGCATTCTGTAGGAACTGCTGCCATCTGCTGGTTGCACAGGAGAAGTAACGTGAAACCAGCAACCAATTTTTTTCCCCCCACCGTTCTCTGTTGGGAGCTGCGTCAGGTTCATGCTAAGGAGCCTGCTCGCGGTCCACAAGGTCCCCGTTCTCCATCACAGCTGCTTTGTGATTGGCTGGTGCCCCCCCCCACCCAACCAGAACATGACCTTGATGCCAAAGCTTTTCCCTTCACCACACAGAGGATGACTTTACTTTGAAGCATGTTTAGTGCCCCTCTCACAGGAATAGCACCAGTTAATACTGGTTTGGTGGAGCTGTTGTGGTCATGGACATCTTGGTGCTACTACTGGGTTGAGCCGGGCTGTAAGGGGGGGGGGGCTTCACAGTGTTTACATCTCCCAGACAATGCCCCCCATACCCTAACACTGACTGTTTGACACCATGCCTCGCCAATTCTGACACCCCCACCCCACCCCATCAGTGACCTGGAGAAGGCCCAGGAAGAGTCTACTGCCTGTGGTTATAAGGTGCTTCTCAGCAACATACCACCAGCATGAGGGCCCAGCTCCCACGCCTCCTCCGCATCCACCACCGCAGGCGGCAGCTCGCACATACACTACATTTTGTATTGTTTTTGTTCATGTCTTATTGTTCAATTTTCTTTGTTTCAAATGCACTAGGGGCTGTGGCCCCTGCTGGCCAAGAGCCCGGGGCCCCTGTCCTGCCTCCAGCTCCCGGAGTTTGAACAGGGTGTGTAGGTCGTTGCGTTTTTAAAGCTGTGCTCTTGTTTATACTGTACAGGTCCGCTTGTGCATGATGGGCGGGGATGAGGAATGAGTTTTTTTTTTTTTTTTTACATTTGTTTTTAAAACAAAGTACATATTTAAAATATTTTTTAAAAATTGTGATCTTTTCAGGGAGTATTAAATCATGTAAAATAAAAGTAAAGGACTTATTTGAAACATAGGCGTGCCTCATACATGTACATGAATCCATAACTTCTCCTGCAAAGTGTGTTTCTTGTGGAAACGTCTTCTCCCCCTCCTTTCTTAGCTCATTTTATTTTCTTGATGTAAAAAAAAAAAGTGTAAATGGTTTGTAAGTGTGCGCAAGGCAGGCTCGGGGTTTGCTACAGAGAAGTGGCCTGCGGTCCGGCAGCAGAAATGGCCAGCGAGCTGCAGACGCACACCCAGCTTGTGTCAAGCTGCTCCTTTTTTTGTAAATTCTGTGTACAGCTGCTCATGGTGTAGAAGAGGTGACACAGCGAATCGGGAGGCTTGTCGAATTCCTCAAATGGTCTATTTATTACAATGAGCAAAGAACGTTTTAAAAGAAAACAAGGAAATGTTCAGATGTGTTCATGCAAAGCTAAACTGTATTTATTGTTTATATATACACTTACACACATGCGCACGTTTACACAGACACGGAAACGCACAAATGATTCCTTCCAAAAGGATCAAATACCAGCTGAAGTGTTTTAAATGAGTCTTGTTGCAATCTGTCTTCATCTGCAGCGTGTCAGCACCCTTAAAAGAAAATCACATTTCTAAATGCCATTTAGAAACGCCAAGTTGTCTGAAATGAAGGGTGTCGATGTTGGAAAGGTTTGCAATAAAAAAATGTTACGGACAAGTTATTTTGTTATTAATATGATTTAGTTTATAAATGTACCTTTTTGTTTTGTGTTTTTTAGTTCTCGGTATCTCTGACTCGTCTTGCTCTGCATATTGTTAATTTGTGTGAATCCATGATTATGTATCATTGTATATAGTAACTTTTATAAAGCAATCCATAAACATACTGACATTTTTTTAACCAGTGTCTGTCAGCGTCTTTTGTTACCACACAATGGGAGGGGTAGAAGCCTGCAACTGCCTCGCAGATCTCTCGCAGGGCGTATCCTGAAGCATTTACGGCTACACGTGAGGTAACTGCACTTGTGTTGCAAGTGTGCATTCTGCTTACGGCCCGAAGGGCGGGGCCTTAGCTGAATGAATGGGCATGAGTATAGGCAGTATGGCTGTACGTGTCTGTGTATTGTGTCACTGGCCACAATATTGATTATGTCAGAAGACTACAACTTAATTCACTGCTAAATTAACTTAAAAATACAGCTATTAGATGATGATCAGATTTGGATGATTTTATTCCTGTGATCTGACGCTATTTGCTTTGATTTATCAAAAAATTACTTCCACTAAACAGGAAAATGTTTTCTAAGACTTTGCACACTGTTTTTGGATGAACCTTCAGCAGCAAGGTATTCTGAATATTTAAAATATAGATTTATGAAAACATTTCTTACTAGGATTTCAGTATTATGATTAATAATTTTCTTGAGGACAAAATACTTCCACTACAATAATTCCAACTAATCACATCTAAATACTATGGAATATACATATGACCGTTGGTGTCAGCCTCGTGTGGGATATAAGGGCGTTTGGTATCATCCCCATGTGGGGTATAAGGGCGTTTGGTGTCATCTCCGTGTGGGGTATAAGGGCGTTTGGTGTCATCTCCGTGTGGGGTATAAGGGCGTTTGGTGTCATCTCCGTGTGGGGTATAAGGGCGTTTGGTGTCATCTCCGTGTGGGGTATAAGGGCGTTTGGTGTCAT